ATTATGTCAAAAAGAATTTCCAATGCTGGAGCTGCCAAAGGATCTACAAAGCGAAAGCACGTTTCGATGTCCATCAAACAAAAAGTGGAATTGCTGCAAAAAATGGATAAAGGCATATCCTTTGTTTTTCTAACCATTCCGAAATCTGTTTATCAATTTCACACTGTTCTGCGGGGGTGGCGAGAAACGTCGCAGCACCCAATGAACTGGAAGTTGACCTGTCAGCACTATCCTTATCTTCAGGGTAGATGTTTTTATTTTATTCGGCTTATAATTCCTTACTAAATGCAGTATTTCATCTCGATGTACTCTGATATGATTTAAATCAATTTCCTCGTCATTATAAATATCAAGAATACACATCAAATAGTTCCTGGTTGCAATTTTCTAATTTTGACTATGCATAGTGTATGCTTTACGCATAAGCGCGTTGAAAGAAATGTTTAATAAAGTAAACAAATAAATATTAAGCCTTTTATTTTGTAAATTTTGATACCCTTTAGATCATAATTGCTCTTTATTTCATAAATTATGGTTTCATATTTTTAATTTTATAATTTAATAATTTAAAAAGTGGAATTGCTTCAAAAAATGGATAAAGATCCATTTTTTGCAGCAATTCCACTTTTTTGTTTGATGGACATTGAAACATACTTTTGCTTTGTAGATCCTTTGGCAGCTCCAGCATCGGAAATTCTATTTGACATAATCGAAAGTTCAAGCTTACTTTTATAAAATTGCTCTAACAATCTGCAAAAAATAATAAGCTGGATCCAATTCGAAGATTAAGGAACAACGCAATCTGCAACATTAACTGAAATAGATAATTAGATAATTTTAGCTTAGCTTATACTGTCCGTTATACATTAAACGTGCATGAGTAAACATATTATGCGCATTATTATTCAATTTGTCAGTCCACCTTTATAAAATGGACACAAATGTATTTGATCATTTTACAAGGACTATTTACATTGATCCATTTATGCAGATAATTAATGCATTAACTCCTATGAGAAATTATCACCATCTGCTGGCAATAATGTAAACAATATTTCTATGAATATAGAGAACATTAATTTCTGATATATCTACACATATCTAATTACCTGTATCTAATAAATAAAACATTAATAAATGAAATTAAATAATTGGTAATCATATAGCATGCAATCTAGCTTTCAGTAAGTTATTTTTCAGATGGTAAAAATAAAATTGGTTGTTTCAATCATTTCTTTTTCCTACCATTTTATTGCAAGTACGAGTTTTAAAAGTGTGGCGCCATCTAAGAAATAACTAACTAAAAATGATAGATTGCATACTACAGGTTTACCAAATTTTTCAATAAATTAACACTACTGTCAGTAGTATAGGTGTATTTTAAGATTTCATTTTTACTTTGTATTCTTACAGTAATTTGATCAGGCAATCAATTAGAAATTTGGCCTATTTATAAAACGAATTAATAAAAATGAGTTATATTGTTACTTGAGACACGGAAAAATTTTATGATGTTCAGTAAGTATGTTCTTAAATGTACAAAGCAAAACCTTTAATTCAGGGTTAACTTCCATTTATTCACAACCCTTCAAATTTTAAAAGTACTTAATAAAATCTTGAATGTGAATCCTGGTCAATACCAGTTTTGGATTGTTTTGGTTTACTTAATAACAGCAAAGCACACTCGGGCTATCTGCCTAAGGGGAGGGATGCCTTTGTGGAGGACTTTCTAAGGGAAACTGGTTCGTATACATGTTACACATGGGGAAAACCACGAAAACGCCCATGCGGCGAGACAGTTTGTGGTATTCTAACCTCGGACCGAACTACCAGCGGTGGCATAGCTAGGGTGGGGCAAGAGGGGACATCTGTCCCCATGAGCAGCATTCAGGAGGTGCCAAATTGATGTTATGAAATTTTAGAATGAAATGTCTCCCATTCTTGGCACACAGAAAGAGGCGCAAAATCTTCAGTTGCCCCAGGCACTGAAAACCCTAGCTACACCTCTGGCTACCAGTGTTTAGCGACTTTACCGCTCAGCCACTGGTAGGCACCAGTTTTGGGAAATGTTAACCAACTATTTCTGCAGTAATATAAAAAAAAATAATAATAATAACTCATAGTAGAATTATCAAGAGTATAATACCTAAACTGCAAAATAACTACGACATCCCTACTAACTATACATTTTTGTAGCATATTTCTATCATGTGCAGACATAAATAATCATAAAAGAGCAAATTTCTTTTTCAGATGGCTATAGTAGAATATACGAATGAAAACTGCAAATGAAGATGAATAAACTGATAGCTGGAAAGGTACCAGAAAGCGTTACACAAGAAAGATTTTAACATTGATAATCCCGAAATTTAGCATATTACTATAACTCGACAACTCCTCAATAATATGTACCGTAATTTCCGGAAGAAAGGCCGCATCAGCGTAAACGCCACACTCGAGAAAAATGGCGGGAAAAGAGAAATTAAAATTACACAGAAACGCCGCAATAGATTAAATAGACATCGTCGTGGGCCGTATAGATGCAAAAACTCAACCTAAGTCCTGATATATGACATACCAGTTAAGAAAAATGCATGAAATGAAACCATAACTCAAAAATAAATTAAAGGTAAGAAATGTATAGCTTCTGTGCCGTTTAGAGACATTTTCAAAAATTTTCCGTTCCCTAATTAAAAACTATCCAACAAGTACTTGTACCCTAACTGATGGGATCTGTATTTAGCAGAATGCCAAGAAAAATCCATTCATGCTGAAGGGGATATATGTCAGAGTTCGTTATTGCGAGGCAGGTGGTCCGCCTTTGAAAAAAATTGCAGAAAAGGCAGGGGTGGAAAGAGGATGGGTCCTGAAAGATTCATCGAATGGCAGAGGAGAGAGACTATTCGAACTGATGAGAATGTTAATTTGAAAGGGGGGAAGAATGTTATTGTTCTGAGATCTTGTTTAGGGTGAATAAGGCATGTAGGTCCGTTCAAGGGAAAGAATGTAAACAAAATAACGTTCGCAAAAAGCAACTGAGTGGTCTTTTGTGTGGGAACAGCACCAATCTATGCACAATGACCATCATAGGAAATATTTTATTTTTAGTGCACCTAAACGTCGCATGGGTAGAAACGCTGCGGCGTTTCTTCCGGAAATTACGGTACTTTAAAAACAATCACAACTGATCGATCCATTACATTAATGGATTGTAGTTTTATATTTTGCCTGTATACATGTAAACTGAAACACTGCCACTAAAAAAAATGCCAGGTTCATGAAATGGTTGAGCATGTTGATACAAGATACGCTGTAAGGAATGCTAAAAATCCTTCAGCCTTCCTTGTAGGATATATTTACTAACATGCTTTACATTCATTTCTAGGACTACTCTCGAAACATACCCAAGAAAACATTCAGAATTTAATTTTGGATTTTTAGCTAATTTTATTTCCATGAAAATTAATATACGTATAGAATGAAATAAGTTTAATACCAGTCTTCCTCATAGTTTTTCTATAAAACTAATTACAGTCTAAGATTTAATTTTGCTTAGTTTTAAACTCGTACACACATAATCTATCTAAATAGCTATGCTTGCAATAAAAAATACATTAATTTACCTACTAAGAATAACACCTACATTAGGTGTTACTCTCAGCAGGTAAATTAATGTATGATAAAAACTGTCTGGTTTTGTTAAATCTCGAACACTTGCAAGATTTTATTTTATTTTCCTAACAGTTAATGTTTAGTCTGGAAACAACCTTTCCTTTACACCCTCATTATCCTGTTAGAATGAAATTTTAGTTTCATGCTTTATGCAAAGTATGGTAGAAACTATATAAAAAAGCTGAAGTCTGAGTTACTTTAGACACAGCATGTTCTGCCTTTCAGCCATGTTTTTGCTACTAGTTGCTAATCTATGTCTGTGATATTAGCCGAAGAGCCAACTATGTGTTAAATATCTCTATATAGCTTCAGCTGATTATTCAACTTAAAATTAGTTTAGTTTTGTTTTCTACTTGTTAAAGCCACAAGCGCTGGCTATTTGTAAGCCCAAGTAGGTCCATCTGTGAATATATCAGAATTAAAATAAACAGGTACTTTAAACTTTGTTCTGTTGTTGTTACTGACCCAGTAGAACTTATAGTCTTAGTAGGTTCTGAAATTCAAGTAATTTTAAATTAGCTAGAACACTCTACACTCTAAAATAATTATAAATTTAAGAGATTTTATTTTATTTTTAATAAACTGAATGCCTACTTTAACAATACCTGTGAAATCCAAAAGTTTTTCAGGCTAATTTAAGAAATATAAACAAAATGTTTCAACACTTTATTCAGAGCAAAAACTGAAATATACAAATTATCTATTTTTACTTAAATTAAAGGCAACTTTATTCTTACACTTCTAAATTCTTCAAAATTTCTACACAATTTTCAAAAATCATATGAAAAGTCACAAAAAGTTACTAATGTAATAAAATGGGCATATGAACAGTAAATAAATTAGTATATATCAGCTTGAATGAATGAAAGCTGCAGTAACGCCGTATCTAATTATGAAAATTTTTCAAAAAGGAAGGATCTACTTTAACATGGACTCAGAAAATGGAAATAGACAAAACATAAATAAACTAAATTATGTTGCAACAAAGATACACACATTCAATACAGATTTACACTATAATAAACACAATGAAAGTGCAAACACGGATCTATGCTTATGAAGAAGATCCGTAGACATTACTCCTAACGTTGACAAGCAGTAACTTTATATTTATGAAATATCTTTTTGTAGTTTTAAAAAAATAGAGGAAACACAACATAAACGTATTATACATACATGATTTCCAACGGATAATAAACAACAACTCCATACAGTGTCTTAAAATATAAAAGCCGCGATGAATATTAAGAGGTATAATTATTTCAACGATTAATTTCTTGTTAAAAAGGTTACAAGTAAAACTAATCACATAAAAACAACCAACTTACCTCAAATTTCGCAGGCATGACCTAAATCATTAACATAAATGTTTATATCATAGACGTTTTAAAAATCTCTTCGTATTTTAAAACCTAAATTATTCATGCAGTCTTTTAATGGAAAACGATTTAGCAACTTTGGACTAACTGATATTTAATTCATACTATTTCGTTCCGCATACAAACAGCTGACACAACCACCAAACCCCAAGCTAGCAATATGAGTCATTCCTCGGTGTACTCCATTTCACTTCAGCCCAAGTTTCCCTTCCTTGTTATTAATAAAACTAGATTTAAATAGAAAACTCGATGGTTTCAAACAGCTTTCCTGGGTAAACTGATAAATGTTATTTAAATAAAAATATTTAATTATAATGAAAACTTTACATTAAGCATGTTAGGAAACTTAGAATGGAAGAAAAGTTTGAAAATGTTAAAAACTTATCTTAATTGTATACTAACACATGCAATTATTTTATTCTGAATATTTTTATTTTGTTTTTTTTTCCGAAAACAGTGTGAAAATTTTGTTATCTCTTCAGACATATAATGAACCAATCCATTTCTCTTTTTCATGCAAAGTTTCAGCCAACGGGGAAGAAGACTCAATACCGCGGTTAGAAGTGTTTTCGTGTTTTGTTTTTATTTTGAAAGATATGTGTAACATTTACTTGCAGTAGAAGTTTTCTGTGACATTCATTTAGCTTCAAGTGCTTGTTAATGATTCTAGTAATAATGAGAAATACATTTCTGTGCGTCAGAGTTTTCATAATAGTACCAGGCTAAACTTTATTCACTGGAGAAGGTAAATATGGCCGTACTCCATAGAGCTCTGTTAACGTGGTTTCTGTTTGCTGTCTTCTTAATACTTCTTACACTGCGTCTTGATGAAAAAACTGATTGGGATTGGTTTATTATATTTATACCCCTTTGGATATTTGATTTTAAGCTTTTAGTATTTATAACATTTAGGATTGTGACGCATTGCAGAAATGGGCATGACCGTTCTTTCGTTACTATGTATTTAAAATGCTGGTACTTATTCTGTGTACTTTTAAAAGTTACATTTCAGATTCTTCTCGCTATACGTTTGCAGTATTACAGTGGAATTAGCTGGTACTATATAATGATTCCATTATGGATTTTGCTGGTGGGAATGTGTGGAGAAGTTTTTTTCAATCTTGTATCGCATAGGAGCTTTTAACTTATGCATATCAAGATTTATACCACAAAGTGCACTGTGCTAATATCTCTAAGTAATGAAATTTTATTTACATTAATTGGCATGGAAAACCATTTGTGACTAATCATGTTGTGTGCATAATGTGAAATGTGGAATTACATGACAAAGAAACAAACATTTTGTACGGAAACTTTTGTAATATTGTATTGCATGCATTCTGCGTTAAATGAAAAGATAAGTAGTGTAAAAGATAGCTCCAGATTACATGTTCCTACCCCCCAAAAAATAAAACTGGAAATATGAAGTTAGTGTTTTCAGTTTAGTGATTCAGAATCTGTTTTCATTGTTGGGAAGAAAACTTCTAGATGTAAGCTGTTTATCAGACATATTAACTCTCTTTTGATAATAATACATTTCTTAAAGACCTGGTTGAAAAATTAATTACCATAATTCAAAAAGTAAATTTTGTTAATGGTGAAGTTGTAATATATGCTTGCACAGTAAGTACCTAAATATCTGTAAAACTATAAAATTTGATCTGTATCATTTATGTTATGAAATCTTTTTACAACTTTGTTCTTTTTGTAATCTTTCGCATTTCGGAAAACAAAAATCATTATTAGTAGTTATGTACTGGCTGAAATGTGTATTTAAATGAATTCATTTCATCCATTTCATGTGATCAAATTCAATGAGAAACTGTAGTAGAAATCTTATCTTACTGTAGTAGAAACTGTAGTAGAATCTTTAAGTTAAAAAGTTCTAATGAGAACTAAAAAACTTATTATTTAAATTTTTAATAATTGTTTTCTTTTACATAGCAGCTGAATATCCCCCCCCCCGTATTAAACATATTTTTGTATCATATGTTAAACGTGTTTGTGTTATGTATATCGCATATAAATATTTTAAAAGTTCAATGTTCATTAAAAAAATTAACAACTGTTTTCCTTTTGTGAGAAATGTGTTTTGTTTGTTTAATCTGCAATGCGTAATGACATTGATTATAGCAGTCTTCACAAGCACACAAGACTTATTTACTTTAGGAACCCTAATTTATTACTTATGAGGAAAGTGGTCTGGAAATGCATTTCGTACCAATGGTAAAGAAGAGGATTTCTTGAGTTTTACGGTGTATAGTAGTATTTAAATTATTTATTGGAAAAAACTATTAAGTAAACTATCTTTTTAATTTATAATAAATAATAATTTTGTTTCATGTTTTTATATCTATATAAACTTTGATAGTGTATTTTTATTAGCATCTTTTTTTTGGGGGAGAGTGAAAGCAGCAATACTTACGCTAATATATGTTCACACATAATATAGAATTTAATTATTAATTTCTATTATATATTCCTAGGAAAAGGTAACTAATGGTATTGAAATTAGAAATTTCAAGTTAAGAGGACTGGTAAACTATTTAAAATTTTAATAAACGAAAGTAATTATTGTCTAGGATATCGCAAATAAACTTATTTTTGATACGAAAACATATAAAAATTTATTTGGTTGATCTTTACAATATGGTAACTGGTAGTTTGGCGACATTTTGGAGGCGATAAAGGTTACTACCTGGGACTTTGGTAATAATGTGAGCAGTACTCAGTTCCGATTACGCATTATTTTGTGTGAGGGAAATGAGAGATCATGGGATATGTCATGTGATATTAATGGACGAATTACGGTTCTTTAATCGGAAAAGGGGGGGAAATCGGGAAAAAAATCTGGAAATTTTGTATTTGGCTTTATTCTGTGTTGTGTGAAACAGTGTTCATGAATTTTTGGATCCCATGGCCGTAACTAAAGTGAATT